CCCCAAAACCCCAAAACCCCAAAACCCCAAAACCCCAAAACCCCAAAACCCCTTCCAATACCAATTTATTGAATAATAATAGAAATCAATTTATCTTCGGCTTCTCCCTACTTTGCCATGGCTTTCATCGTCTTTTTGGGCTTCTTAGAAGGGTGGAACCTCAAGGCTTCTTCGTAAACCATGTTCTGCAGAATCTCCTTTGTCGGCTCGAAGTTGTCCCAAGACCAGTCGAACTGTTCTTTGCACAGAGGCTCGGTCTTCTCGTTGTGAAGCTGTTCAAAGTAAGGATGAGCCAGACATTGCTTCACGTTGTACCTTTTAAGAGGGTTGAATCTCAGCATTTTACCGAGCAAGTCAAGAGCCACAGGGTTACTTTTTGGGAACAATGTTGACCAACTCTGTTTATTACGCTTCGGAAGAGATTTCACGAACTTCACAGCGAGTTCATTGCCGATGAAAGCTAGCTCTTCGCTAGTAGGTGTCCCTAAAATTCCAACAACTCTTTTGATCTGGTCAAGGTAGTCATCTCCAGGCAACAAAGGGGCCCTTCCTAACAATTCTGCGAAAATTCAACCGATGGACCAAATATCGACGGAATGGTCGTATTCGGAGGCGTTCAAGATCACTTCAGGTGCTCTGTACCACCTGGTGACGACATACTCAGTGAGCATGGTGTCGTCTCAGTCGAACCCTCTCGAGAGCCCGAGGTCTCAAATTTTCAGATCACAGTTCTTATTGAGAAGCAGGTTGGAAGGCTTCAAATCCCTGTGGATGACCAAGGCCGAATGCATATTGAGAATTCCTCTCAAGATCTGGTAAATAAAGTACTGGATGTGCTCATCCGAGAGTTCTTGCCTCGAGTACACAACTCGATGCATGTCTGTCTCCATCAAGTCGCTGATGATGTAGATGTCTTCGAAGCCGGTTCTTCCTTCGTATGGCTTGACGACATCGAGCAAGGAAATAATATTTTCATGGTCAAAGAACGCCAGCAACTTAATTTCTCTTACAATACGCTTGGCATCGATGAGATCTTCGAAAGCGTTGTGAACTTTCTTGACTGCGACCTTGACACCTTTTCTTCTGTCCTTGGCTGAAACTACTACTCCGTAGGCTCCTCTTCCAATTAACTTAATGTATTCATAACGAGTGTCGAGTTCGAAAGTTGTTCCAGAAACAACAAAGGAGTGCATTCCCTTTGGCAACTTCTTGGTCTTAATGGGACGTTCAATCTGTTCTTCCTTCTTTTCTTCGAGGTCATTATCAGCTGTGTCAGAATTTCTATCAGAGCTTGATTGATTTTCCATTTTTATATAATTTCAAAAAACTAATTTAAAGCTGGGGTTTTGGGGTTTTGGGGTTTTGGGGTTTTGGGGTTTTGGGG